AGCACCAGTGTTGCGCGGGCGGGGCAGGCGGGTCCAGACGCCGCCGCGCCGGGTTACGGCGCCCTGATTTTCAAATTTTGGTGCGCATGATTTTTTACGACGAGGTGCAGGTAGCCTGATTGTCCGGTCCAAAGCGTAAGCCTGTGATTTAACCTTGCGCCGGCACACCACAAAGAGTGCCGGGAGAGCAGCCACCACTCCGACGAAACCTGCCACGATCTCGGAAGTGTGTCCAACGGGTCGACGCGGCTACAGGCGCCGGTCGGACGCGCCGCGTCGCGACCGCCGCCGCCTCCCTCTTGGCACCAGGCGTCGCCGCCCGGCGGACGGTAGTAGGGGTCGAGGGTGGCGCCGGGTACGCCGCGTCGCGACCGCCGCCGCCTCCCGCTCGTCACCAGGCGTCGCCGCCGCGCGGACGGTAGTAGGGGTCGAGGGTGGCGCCGGGCCGGATGCGGAGCCGGGCGCGGCGCCGCCGACGCGCTGCGCCAGGGGTTGAAGTCGTGTTCTCAGGCGGTCTGCGAGTCGACCGACTGGGAGTTGGTGAGCAGCCTGTAGCAGGGCCGACAGACGGGCGCCGGCTGAGCCCTGCAGGTGGCCCGGCAGCCGCTGCCACCGGTCCAGGCAGCGCTGGCAGAAGATGTCGCCGCACCGCCAAGCAGTGGAACTGCCCGGCCGGGCGCATGGTCCGCTGGCACGCTCGCCACCGCCCCTCCCCCCCCCCCCCCCCTCCCTGCATACACACCCTCCCTCATGCGGACATGTGACAACCGGCACAGTGCGAACTTCCCACACAAATGTGGAATTCGTGTGCGACAGAAGCGGCAGTCGATGAACCAGCGTTTTGATTTCAGGGCCGACTTTTACCTAATACGAGAGCACACCGGCTAAGCTCCACACAACAAATGCTTCATCGCCGTTAAAAGGTTTGCGATCTTTACACAAACGCTACACCACTAGTTGGTGCATATGCGTTATGCGTTAGCCATTTGGTAGGCCAATGAGGTAACCCAGTAGTCATATCCGTGCCCAGTCGGCAACGGATCTATCCAGTTACTCCCACGGCGGCACCGGCATTAGCACTAGCACCGGCACTGGCACTCGGCACTGACTATGACAACACCAAGCACCGGCACCGGCACCGGCACCGGCCACCGGCACCGGCACCGGCACCGGCACCGGACACTGGCACTGGCACTGGCAACAGCACCGGCACCGGCACTGGCACCTGGCACTGGCATTGGCACTGGCTCTGACAACAGCACCGGCACCGGCACCGGCCACCGGCACCGGCACCGGCACCGACACTGGCACTGGCACTGGCATTGGCTCTGACAACAGCACCGGCACCGCACCGACCCAAGCGTGGCGGTCGGCGCCCCCCTCACCTTCTTGCTGAAGTGGTCGAATGAGGTGGTGCAGCTGCACTCGCGTACACCCCGCGGCGAGACCCAGTCGACGGCCACCGAGTCCAGCTCCCGAGTCAGCTGATCGACGCTGAGCGGCGGCAGCTGGAGATTGGCGTTCACCTGTCGACCCGGCCACGGTCACCGCCGGCCCGGCGAGGTCACCGTCCAGCCCAGCACAGACAATGCCAGGTCAAACAGTCACTTTGATCTACCGCCCAGGCATTCCGATCAAAAACAATGAACAAATATTTGCAAGCAAAAAACGGAGGAATGAATCCTTCCGACATCTAAAACCAATAGATCGGCAGCACCCAGGTTAAATTATTAGCAGACGTGTACAATCGAAAGAGTAGCATCAGCTGTAAAATGACATCAAATGACATCGCAGGCAAACTGAACAAACTGAGGTAAACCGGGCGGGTTAGAGGCAACCCAATCCTACGGTTCTCTTTTGTGAAACGCGCGCATTCATCAGCCAAAATCCACACTCAGTTTGCTTGCGTCGTAAATGTTATCGTTAAGCCATGCCCCGGCCGGTAACCATGGGGTTTATTTTCACGCAATTGCACGATGCCCCTCTTAGCCGAGCACACCTTGGGCATATCCGTTTGCGATCTGATGGTATTAGATGTATATGAATGCATCCGTCTGTGGTGCACTGCTTCTTGTAGACTGAAAGCTACCGCAGTTTCTACGATCAGATGATAACAATACCATAAAAAACGCGGACAAACCGCTGATCCCATGTCCACTAGTCAGCTAAATGTGGGCTTACTTCTAGTCCCACGCAAAAACAACCCACCGATGTATTCGATCACACAATCACAACATAAAAAGGAGCCCTACAATTAATGTAAAATTTTCCCGAGTTTTTACGTCACAGTTTCTCTCATGTTTGAAGGATCAGGATCAACAGCTTCTCTCCAGAAAAAAGCAGCTGGCTGATCGCAACAAGAGGCTTTCTCAGATAAACCAATTTCAAATGCGGGGCTGGGCTTTGTACTGCAGCGCCGTGACGCGAATGTTGCGCCGCAAATCGCCGCCCTCGTGATTCGTGACCAAGTCATTCGCCGTCACTCTAACTGGCCGGCTCTAAAAGATGGCAATACCCGCACCCCACGCACCACCGGCGTCGGTGCAGGCCATTGCCAGAGGGCACATTTGCCCGGTAGGCTGGGCCGGGCCGACCTCACCTGGTCGTTGCTCGGTAGGCTGGACCGGGCCGGCCTCACCTGGTCGTTGCTCGGTAGATTGGACCGGACCGGCCTCACCTGGTCGTTGCTCGGTGGGCTGGACCGGGCCGGCCTCACCTGGTCATTGCTCGGTAGGCTGGACCGGGCCGGCCTCACCCTGGTCGTTGCTCGGTGGGCTGGACCGGGCCGGCCTCACCTGGTCATTGCTCGGTAGGCTGGACCGGGCCGGCCCTCACCTGGTCGTTGCTCGGTAGGCTGGATCGGGCCGGCCTCACCTGGTCGTTGCCCGGTAGGCTGGACCGGACCGGCCTCACCCGGTTGTTGCCCGGTTAGGCTGGACCGGACCGGCCTCACCTGGTCGTTGCTCGGTAGGCTGGACCGGACCGGCCTCACCTGGTCGTTGCTCGGTGGGCTGGACCGGACCGGCTTCACCTGGTCGTTGCTCGGGTAGGCTGGGGCCGGGCCGATCTCACCTGGTCGTTGCTCAGTAGGCTGGGCCGGGCCGGCCTCACCTGGTCGTTGCTCGTTAAGACTGGACCGGACCGGCCTCACCTGGTCGTTGATGTGGCGCCGATCGGCCAGCTTGTCAGCAGTGGCGGCGCCGTCGGCGCTCTCGCCACTCTCCGGATCGGCGTTGTTCAGTCGACTCTCCAGCTGGCCTATCCGCTGCAACGCGCCGCGAACGGTCACGCACGCGGCGTCGGCCCGGAGCGTGCCGACAGCTCGCACGCCTGCCCCTTCCCCCCCCCCCCCCCCCCCCCGGGCCACCAGGCAACAGCAGGCTGGTCACACGCCCGCCTGGAGCGGCGACGGCGGCCGCCCGCTCCGGGTCCCCACACGTCTGCAGCCCCGGGCCACAAGAAACAACAGCAGGCTGGCCACACGCCCGCCTGGAGCGGTGACGGCGGCCGCCCGCTCCGGGCCTCCACACGTCTGCAGCCCCGGGCCACAAGAAACAACAGCAGGCTGGCCACACGCCCGCCTGGAGCGGTGACGGCGGCCGCCCGCTCCCGGTCTCCACACGTCTGCAGCCCCGGGCCACAAGAAACAACAGCAGGCTGGCCACACGCCCGCCCGGAGCGGCGACGGCGGCCGTCCGCTCCGGGCCGCACAAATGGCGTCCGATCGAGCCGAACCCAGGACGAAGCTCCCCTACCGGCCCCATACAGACAAGCGCACTGCTCTCCAGGCGGTGGCTATAGCAGACGCCGCCGTGTCCTGAGGTCGGCACGCCTGAAAGCCTAATCTCTACACAAACGGACCGCAGACCTCGAGTCAGCGACGGCAGACCCGACCACTAACTTATCCTACCCACGGGCCAGGGACCCTGATCCATCACGACAGAGCCGCCGCCTACCTTTTCGAGCAGGCGGATATGGTCCCGCATCGACTGGTTTGTGGTCCGACAGGTAGTTGGCCACCTCCAGCAGGCACTCGCGTGGATGCACGCCGAACTCGAAGCGGGAGTACATACCGCGCCAGAACCTGGCCAGCGCGCGGCGAACGGGCACGTGAAGTTAGCTGCTTGTTATCGGTCACGGTACGGTCCTGCGCTCCATCCGGAGAGGCACCAATATGGCAGCACGACGACAGAGTCGTGCATAGATTTTCGTCCCAGTAGCTTTTCTTTTAACTTAGTCACAAGAATTGCCTCCTCAACTGGCAACTGGATCTGACAACCTCCAAAACAAACGTTGGTTACATGGACGTTGACGGGCACTTTCCAGCCTCAGTATTAACGACGAAGCACGCGACTTTGACCAGGAGCGCAGCAACATCCGACTCAAAGCGCATAAGAGCAAGACCCAAGCCCCGCGGGGGCGACGCTCGCCGCCGACGACGCTCGGTTGGCGGCACGCCAAACCACGCCTCCGAGCACACGCTCGCCCCACCCGGGGCCCGCGGTCCGCAAAGCCAGCGGACACTCACCGGACAACCTGGGGCGGCAGGCCGACCTTCAGCGCGCCCGGGAAGCGCGTGGGGTCGAACAGCGCGTTGGTGTACTCGCTGAGGTGCTGTGCCGTGAGGCCCCACAGTGAGTACGTGCGCTCCGACAGCCTGAGGCAAGGCAACAACGGCAGCGTCAGGAGGGCCAGCGTTCTCCGGGGGTTCTCTTGGAGATCTGGAGGGGGAACACCGTGCATGTGGAAGGCGCGGGGTAAACGAAGACAAGGTCGGAAGCCAATGCCCCACCAAGTACGTTAACAAGCCCATGTCAAAGACTTTCGCCGCCGTCCGGAAGTGAAGCGTTACTTCACTTGCGGTCATTCTCTCAGCAGCGAGCTCGGCGGTGTTTCAACCCATACACCCCGCGTCCGGCCGCCGGCCGTGTCCCGGGTTCCGCCGGCGGGGCAGGCCACGCCTGCCGCCGGGCCCTCGACCGCCGTCACCCGCTGCCGACTCACCGCAGGTCCTGCCGGTCCTTGTGACAGTTGCCGATGAACGTCCCGAACTGGCACGAGAACACGTGGTCGTGCAGGGTAAGCAGGTACCGTTCGTTGAACTGGAACGCCTGGGGCTGCAGCTGGCTCAGCTGCCACACCGCATCTGAGGCGGAGGTGGACCACAGCTGCTGACTCAACTCGACACTGACTTAACACAGGGTTGGAGATGGACTACAGCTGCTGACTCAACTCGACGCTGACTAGGCACGCGGTCGGAGTTGAGCTACATTTGCTGATTCAATCCGGCACTGAACACAACACACCCACACTCACACCCACAACACACCCACACCCCCTCCCCCCACACATACACCCGCACCCACACCCCCACATACACACCCACACCCACACCCACACCCACACCCACACCCACACCCACACACATACTAGACACTCGACACCGACTGACGCAGGGTCACGGTAGGACGTCAGCCGTCAGAAGCGGAGGTGGAGCATGACACGGATGTGCCAGCTGCGCACAAGCCGAGACAGCGGGACTCGGTTTTGGAAGGACACGACAACAGACAGCGGCCGGGCCCCACGCTCCTGTAGCGGGGATCTCGCAGTAGGACATATAGAACAACAGGGAGCAGCGCTTAGCCGTCACAGGTAACAATCACGACACTGAGTCACGATCTCCGCAATGTGCACCCACCGATGAACTGCGTGAAGATGGGAGAGATCTCCTTGGGGTCCTGCTGGATGAAGCCGCAGCGGTCCGTGAACTTGTGACCGTGCGCCAGCCAGCACTTCTCGATCAGAGCCTGCCGGGCGGCGGAGGCCAGAGCCGTCAGAGCTGGACCGCCGCTCACGGAACGCACAGCCCAGCCCACCGAGCGGAAGAAAACAGCACACATACGTGCAGTACGACGCACACCAACGTGACAAAACAAGCCCAAGGCCTGTGGCAGACTGGTCTCCCTGCAATAGGGTCCGATCGTTGTAAGCCGCCAGTCCAGGGAGACTGGTCGGGCTTTGCCGAGGGAACCGCTAGCTGTGCCCCGGCTGCCGCAGGAGCGGTGGCGGGCGGCGAGCGCCATCTGCCGCTCACCTGGAAGCCATGGATGGTGCGGTAGTAGGGGTCGAGCAGCAGCTCGGCGAGCGCGCACGTCTGCGAGGTGCGGTCCCAGCCGTCGCTGCAGTGCACCAGCACCGTCACGCCCTGTTCCACCGAGGCGGCCACGAACTGCGCCGCCTCCAGCGTCGAGCGCACGTGCCGCAGCCAGCCGCTCGACTCCAGGCCCGACAGGAACGTCGACATGGCCGACGTCTTGCTCTCGCAGGCTGCCGGGTACGCGGGCGGGGGCGGTCAGCGGCGGCGGCGGCGGCACCGCGGGGGACGGTCGCGGCCGGCGGCATCCGGCGCCAATATGGCAATCGTCTGGCAACGATGCATTGTCACGACTCTGACGAACGGGATGTCCCCTGGGAGGTACGCGACCCTGGTGGAGACTTTGGTCGATTTGTGGAATACGATGATTTGATTCATCCGGACTAGTGAGGTCTTTTTGAGCCGCCAGTTTAGTGGAGTGCACAAACAAAGCATCGTAGCCTTATATTTCTTATAAAGCTGACGACAAAGACAAAACATTAGCTTCTTGCCAAGAGCTTTCAAACTATCAAACATATGGCCATATCCAAAAACGGGCACTTACTTTCCACCAGTTTATTTAAGCTATTTCGCATAACATGAATATTTTCGATGCCGAAGAAGTAGAACTTGATATTCTGGTAGAAGTTCTCGTTTTCGTAGCCTTTCCCTGACGCTCTATTTGCCATAGCGTTGATCTGCAAACCACGGGGAAAAGATAGACCAGGCTCTCATAGTCGGATGCTCAAGCGACTTCACATATCAACTGATGGCAAAAATCAACAGGAAACGGGCAAAAGGCTCGGTGAGCCTTGTGCCCGCCCGCTCCCCATCCCCCTTGGTCACGGTTCGCAAATGTGACAGGAGAACACGCAACCCAAGATCGTGCATACTGATTCCAACCGTTCGCTCTGTATGTCCCACTAGCCTCATTACGACATACTCACTGAATTCCCCTTCTGTCAAGCGCCGCACAACAGCACACGTCATCCACGTCACACGTCATGCGCAGCATATGTCATTCACTTAACACGTCATCAACAGCACACGTTACCCACGTCACATGTAATCCGCAGCATACATCATCCGCAGCACATGCCACCCACTTCACATGCCATCCACAGCACACGTCACCCACGTCACATGTCACCCGCAGCACATGTCACGCACAGCACACGTCACACGTCATCCGCAGCACACATCACCCGTGTCACACATCACCCGTTCACATGTCACCCATGTCACACGTCCCCCGCGGGCGGTTCACTCACCTTGGGCCGCGTATCCACGACATACATCAGCTTCTCTGACGGGTTGGTGCCGCGTAGCAGCTCCAGCATTTGCTCATCCTCCAGACAGCGCGCCTTGAAGCCGGACAGCGGCTGACTGCACCGACAGATGCTGGCCTGCGACAGCGCAGGGCGCGTCCGGTCAGCGGCCCGGCGGCACGCGTCCGGTCACCGGCCGCCCCCGGCGACTGCCTGACTGACGTCTGCACGAGCAGCGCGGCGGCGACGGCATGCGCGCGCCACCAATCACGAGATCACGAGACGCGCCTCCCTGGCGCCACGTTGTGCCCACCGCGCCGAACTGGACATCTGACTGGTCACAGCACAGCGAGTCATGTTTTGTTTCGACAACTGCCAAAGGACCAGAGGCGCACGTCTTGCCCGACAACTGCCAGCGACGCACGCAGTTGATGCGGCGGTGGCAGTCAAGCGCCCACCTGATTCGAGTGTAGGTAGCTGAGCACCGGCAGGCGGCCCTTGCTTCGGAAGCGCGAGCAGCCGAGCAGGACGGCCGTGCTGGCGGCGGCCGGCACGCAGAGCAGCGACGGGTACGTGTCGCACACCTCGTATGCAGCGTTCATGTCCGTCAGCGCCCATACGTCGTTTGGTACGCCCATCCGCCTGCCGCAGGGCACGCGGCGTTCCTTACAGCCGGCCGGACGCCGGACGCCAGAGGCCGCCAGCAACCGGCCGTTAATTGTGATGCATGCCTCACCAAATGAGTTCCTGTGCAATGCACGCCACTGAACGCAATGACCGCGAAATGTGACACGTGGCCTTATGACGCCATGAATTATGCACGTAAACTACGTGAAAACACTTCATGATCAGCTTTAATAAGCACGGGACCGGACAGACGGCGCCACCAGGGAGCCGCCACATGATTGACAGGTCAGAGACTGGGGCGCCGGCGTGATGAGCTGGTCGGAGCCGGCACTGACCTGAATTCGTCGCTGAGGTCGTACGTGTCCCAGCCGTCGGGCTGGCGCAGCTCCGTGCTGCGCGGCGTGAAGTGGAAGCAGTACAGGTCTTCCAGTTCCACTAGAACGGCGGCGGAGCGTCAGGGTCCAAGGCCCAGCACACGGTCGAGGCGCAGTACCAAAGACCGGTGCAGAGCTGGCTGTAGGCGAGCCTCAGTGCGTCAGGCAGCAGAGAACGGCGTCACGTGCTAAGTACTAGCGAGTTCATCAAGCGCGGATGTTTGGAAGTGTCGGGGCACGCTTCAATGCCGATATCTACCAGGCGTGGCACGATCACAGCCCTTCGCCTCCACGGTCGGGCGTCCGAACACGTGGGTCAAATGACGTACCCCACAACCTCCCATCCTCATCGCCAGAAATAGAACAACTTCACGTCCAGCGAATTCAAGCGGCACCAAACGCAAATGAGCCTGCATGCACGGCGTTGAGCGCCGCCGAACCGAGGCCGGCGCCGGTAGAGCACGGCACCTGGCTGCGACAGCTGCTGCAGCGACGTGAAGATGTCGTGACAGTCGGGCTCGCGCTGAAACACGAACGTGGCCGAGCGGAAGTTCTTGCAGCGCACGAGCAGCGGCGAGCCGCCCGGCGTCAGCGGCAGCTTCTCCACGGAGCCCACGTGCATGTGCGAGATCTGCGGCGCGACCGACCGCGTCCGTCAGCAGCGCGGCGCGACGCCGGAACGGCGCCGCCGGCCGCGCGCCGCTGCCAGGCACGCTGGCGCCACAACAGCCTGCAGTGGCCACGGGGTCACGAGCCGGTGAGAAACGGGGCGGGCGCGGCAACACCGACGGGAAACGCCGTGGCGGCCCGACGCTATCACCAGGCGTTTGTTGTCGCCTACACGTCTATCGAAGTGAACCGTTAAAATAGCAGAATATTATCACTAACAATCTCACCAGGGTCAGTTTTACCAAACACAGCTTAGGAATAGGAACGAGGCGTGCAAGCAGGAAGCTACGTGGGAATGTCGGCGCGCCTGCGGATACGCCAGCTCACAACCCTACCTGTGATCGCATATAAACAATGGCACGACGTGGACTATCATCAAGCCCGACTGCCCTTCCCCTCCTGTCAAAGCACGCTGCACGGCTGCCTAAACCCCCGTCCCTCGTGCCATAGCGGGCCGGCTCACCCAAGTCTCCTTCTTGTTGCGCGGGTCGACGAAGATGAGGTGGGTGGCGGTGAGGTAGAGGGTCCCCGGAGCCGGTTCCGCGGCGGTGAAGCGCTCCAGCATGCGCACCTTCTCCACCTGCGGCGCGGCGCGTCCGTTAGGCGCCCACCAGGGGCTCGCTGGGCCGGCCCGCGCATGACGCCACCGCACTGCATGGGCTCTGACCACGCGAGGCGCCTCACCTTACGCCACTGGGGTGCAACACGATGGATGGAACAGGCATGTGTGCTTGTACGACTACACGTGCGCGGCACAAAACTGTCGCACAGACCGCATTCAATTTCTTCTGTAAACAAAGCATCTATAAAAATTCAGCATTAACTCCAGGATTTAGACAAAAGAAAAGGTTAGTTGAAAAATCGTCGCATATCCGAAAAAACTATCAATTCTACCAAATTTCAGGAACAACAGCACACGTTTCCTGTGCGCACTCACTACAGCATGAAGTAGAAGTCTCCGGTGTAGTTTGCATCAGTTGTATAAACCAGCAGAGATGGACCTGGATCCCAAGGGTGGATCTAGGATCCCATAAGCTTCCATGCATATGGGATCTTGGGATATTGGGGGGGGGGGGGGGGCCACCAGGCACACATCTGTAGGCCAGATCGCACACTGGTAACGCCGTCAGACAGGTACGACATAGTCACCCTGGCACTGGCGACAGCGGCAGGCCACGCCCGGCGCCCCGCCCCACCCTCCGGCCGGGCAGACCTCGAGCGACCGAGCCGGCGCACCGGCCCGCCGCGAACCGGGAGCAGCGGCCCCCACCCACCTTGGGCTTCTTGATGATCTCCATCGTCTGCTGCTGGTCGCGCACCCCCGTCTCCACATCGTTGTTGCCGGGCAGCAGCTGAGACAGCTGCCGCCCGACGCCTTTGAGGAACTGGTCCACGGTGACCCCCTGCGGCCCACCGACCCTGCGGGCAGTGGCAGGCTCGGCGTCACTGGCTGGCGCGGGCCGGACTCCGGATGCTCGCTGCGTGGCGCGCCTCACACTCCTGCTCCCTCTCTCTCTCGCTCTCTCGCTCTCTCTCGCCCTCTCTCGCTCTCTCTCTCTCTCCCTGACTAGCTTGAAATAAGTGATTTAAAGATTCCAGTTGAAATTGTACTGAAAAGGTTGGAGTCAGATGTATTTCTACTGTGCCTCGATGACAAGAGACCCCATTTATGCGAACTGTGCACCTCAAACAATATTATGATGCTCAGCAACAATGGAAGCAGGGCTGTCATTCCTGGACAAGGCCCATAGGTCACAGACTTCAGGTAGTGACCCATTTCTGTGGATCTTGCAGTTCAACCTGTAGCCATAACTGATCACAAAGAACATAATTTCAAGCTATTTCTAGGTGTGCTATATGAAAATAACAGATAATAATCAGCTCCTAACCACTCACCACATGGTTTGATTACAAAACATGAAATGTCAGCCACCTTCAACAAAAACTCCATTAGTGGTCATCCCTAACAAAGTAAAGCAGCTATAACACATGGTCTTCTGGCACTGCTCACTGTTCTTAATGGACAAGGCATTTCATACATTTTTTTCTCATTATCCATTAGCACATTTGGTTCTCCACCTTTAACACTTTTAATGATTATGTGAAGCAAGAATGAAACATGGTGTGCATTTTTTGAACTTCTTGAGCAACAGATGCAAATCATTCAACAAATCACTTATCTTAACAGGCCACAGATATCTGTCATGGTGGAACAGCAGACATGGGTTCTATTAAAAGGGCCTATCCCAGTAAGGCACACATGTGTGAGTCATGTGAATAGTCCAGGGCAGAGTCAGCCAAGAAGGAAGAAGCATATTTTGACATGGAGGATCTCTTGATGACAACAAATACTCCAGCCAGCACCCACAGGCAAGCCAGGTGGTGAAAACTGTCAATGTCAAAGCTGCCCTGAAGGGAGACCAGAGAGTCAAATTCACAAACAGGGGCTGGGAGATGTCTATCACTGCTGTTTACTGTAGCATCACTCAGTAGGCCCTACAGCATACAAAGGGGTCACATAAGTCACACTTCAGTAAAAATAAAATAGCAAGATGCGAGGGTGAGAGCTGTGCTGAAGCATAATGATGTAATAATTGGGGGAAAGGACAACCATAAAGAGGTCATTTGGAGCAACAAGGGACCAACACACACCCCACAAATCACCAGAAAATGGCTTCTGATGAGGCAGCCTTCATCTGCACACAAGATAGCATGCCCACTCACATGCCACAGAGAGCCCAATGGTGGCACTAATGGACCCATCAGTGATCCTGGGACAACAGTTCCAGGGTCTTCCTGACCATATCTCCATAAAAAATATGCTGGAAATCCTGCAGGCATATCCCAAAAAGATGAGCTACTGTGAGAGGACCTTGAAGCTGGCAGCACTGCTGCAAAAGGAGTAGGTGGCCATTTTACACTCCATGCTCAGCTAGTTGGCAGAAAGGGGGCCAATGGGACTGCCAACTATGTCAGATAAAATAGGGAGAGCAGCAGTATATGGGAAAAAACTAAATGTCATGCAATGCCACATGGATGTGTGCTTTTTGGTGCATGCTATACCATCCTATCATAGCAAATGGTTGCAAACCTTATGTTAGAAATTATGCCTCAATGAAGTGCTGCTGAGCAGCTAGTAAATAACTAAAGAAATCAAAATATCTTTCTGATGATTTTACACACTCATAACCTCAATGTGACAATTCTGTCCAGCAATTAACACAGAAATAAGATGTGCACACATGATACTGGTAGTGAGTTTTTGAAGTGTGATCAATTATTGAACCATATGGCAGTGTATCTGGTAACATTATATGGGTCTGCCTCATTCAGGACACATCAAAATTATCCTGATATTAAACTATCAACTAGGCCAGTACTTGGTGTGTATTCTATCTGATTCAGCATATTCAGTATATATTCATTTCAGTGATAATTTGTGTATGTTGCAATCATTTTGACTAGCAGCAATCATAAATATGTTTTTTTGCAGACTGGACAACTAACAAGTGTACCTAAGTATTTGCCAATACATATGATACAGACATGCAGTGATAAGGGCATGATAAGACAGTGGAAAATATGCTGTACTTATGCATAATATGGAAATTTCTTCATCCATATTGCAATCATTTACTTGAACTGCATTATATTAAATGGTCATGTCTCCACATTCATAACATTCTAAACAAGTAAGAGACAATTAAATTGCATACCTGCTTATGTTTTGCATAAATCATCTATGACCTAAGAAATAGTGCAAAATGTATAATTCATAGTAATAGTCAGGAAAACTTGCTTGCATTTCATAAAATGCAATTAGTCAATCCCACATTTCTTATATCTGTAACTCTTTAACAGTTCTTTACTAGCCTCATAAAGTGAACTGTCAGCCATCCTGCAGATAATGGTAGCTTGGGAAGTATGGTACATTCAGGATGCCAAAGCACCTAGACACCTGAAATCCCCCATAGTTCACAGGCTGTTTGGGCAACACATTTGCAGACATATGTGCATGTTCAAAACATTTAGAGCTAAGCACAGTCAATGAAATTTATGCTTCATCATGAAATATCCTTCCATCAAAATAACCACAAAAAATATTTATGCTCAATCAAACCTTGTGTTACCCTGCAACCATGCTCACCTTTTAGCAGACAATACAGTCCAGCTTGAAAATGCATGGCAAACAACATTTTCAAACATCAAGATGGAACTTAATGTACACCACAACCAATACACACAATAGCAAATCGCATCCATATAACACACAAATGTCACTGAATAACCAGATAGCACACTAAGAAACAAACAGCCCAAAAAGCATTGAGGCTAGGAGTAGCTCACCTATATCTAGGTTCAACCTGTCAACCAGAGGGAAATCTTCCCGTGGATGAATTCAGGCGTTCGGCGCGTGTCTCGTATGGTCAAATACTTCCAGACCTTTTCGGACTTTACCACAAAGGACGCCGCTTATTTACACTCACGCAACAATGGCACGATGTGCCAAGGAGCTCAGCCACCTACACCGTCCCCAACCAAATCCGAAATGAACTCTAGATCGTCGGTCCGCGCGAAATCGATTCACTCTCCGAGACCGCGGAAACCCGCGTCTACGAACACTGCGTACCAGACGGTGCAGAAGTGACGCCCCTGTGCGCATTGTTTGCGTATATCTGGAAGCATCAGCAGTCAGCTGAATCAAATGTCTGGAGACTTTCTCTCCCCAGACTTTCCAAGAGTTTCTCGGGCTACGGTCGATCCACCTAAGCCGCAGCACTGCAATATCGCATATGTTGTGTTGGTATAAACCTTACTCTGTAATGCAAAATCAGAATCGCGTAACGTGGCAAAAAGTTGGCAAGCGAGTCATCCGCCTATGGCGCCACGCAAGGGCGTTTCCAGTTTTGCCGTTCATGTGCGGGTGGGGCGCTGTTTGGAATCGAGAGAGCTGGAACCATCCACCCCCCTCACTGGCGACGCCCATGGATAAACGACCTCTGTTTGGTCACATTATGACATTAGACGAAGAAACGTTTAAAAAAATGGGCGTGACAAACCCCATTTCGCGAACGATTTTTTCATACAGCGCCATAGCGTGCATGGAAGGTGGGGCTAATGCCCTGCCTCCTCGGAAAGTGAGGGTGCGCGACACCTACGGACCGTACAAATTCCAACTCCCCTGGTTGTGACACTGAATTGCGCGATGGCATTAAAATCCCGCCCTACTCGGGTTTTTTCAAGTCTGACTGCAGTGGCATTCGACAATGGACATTTCCGGTGGTGACTGGCAGAAAATTCTAGCTGACACGTTATCTTCCACGGCAGCATGGTCTGCCACGTCCGGGATCGTCGGAGCAGGGGTCAAGCATGTTGTGGATAAGACACTAGCAGCACAACTGGTGGCACCGCTAGAACGGTCTTCGAGCTGGCAGCGCAGACTCCCCCGCTGCCGCTGTTTCCCCCCGCCGCCTGTTCGAATATAATGAAGACCGTTACCAGTGCGACACTATCAATGCCTAAGGCTGATAGCTGGTAAGGCTGGTAAACCCTTACCAGGGTTTAAGGCTGGTATCCAATGCCCATGCGTGTAGGCTATCGCTAGCAACAAACCTTTAGGTGTTTTTTCGACCTTTAGACACCTGCACTTGTCTTCTGCGGATGGGAAGCATGCATTTGCCGCATTTAATGACGATCAGTTATCAAGCCAGCCCACTTTTTGTTACCAACAAGACGGGTGCAGTCAATATAACCCTGCATAGGGGTTCCTCTGTCTGGCTTGCCGCTACAAACACGTCGATGCTCTGAGCACGCTGCTGCGTTCTGTTAAAGGGGCGCTAATTATACAAGCGTTCTTAAGCGGAGTGCCCCAAATGCTTCTAAGATTTGCTGGCGGGATTGAAAACACCATCGCTCTTCATTTTGTTATCGCACAGAAATGGACGCCAGTCACGTTATCTATTGAGAACTATAATATTGAAGATTGAAAACTACAAAACACGCACACAGCTGCTGTGATTGCATTATGTTCAGTCTGGAACGAAGTCCATATTTTCCTTGAGAACTTTATGTGTTGAAGCCAAACGTACAGAACTGGTGAAAAAACCAATAAATCGTCGTGGTTGACGATGGGAAGTTCTAATGGCACACGGTCGCGAAAACCCTTTGCTAGGAAATTACTACCAAACAGGTGAAGCAATTCGGCCTTCAAGCAGCCTTACGACGTCGGGACGTAGGAGTGGAATGAGCTGAACCAATAGCGCGTACAGAGGGGGGGGGGGGGGGGGGGCACAACGAGAGGCCCAAAGAGCCCTTCGAAAACTACAATTAAGGATCCGATTTAAGGACCAGAAAACCCAGCCAGGGGTATTATTCAGGGGCCTCGACCCGCAGGAACGGGCCCTCAAATGCCAGCCAGAGGGCCTGTGCGCCGACCAGGGGCCCACTGAGCCAATAGGGGCCTATATTTCGGTCAGACGCCACCAGTAGCACACAGTCGGTTCCGTGGCGGCAAGGGCCTAGGTGCCCATTCCCCAAGCAGGGACAAAGTCGGAGCCAGCGATTTACATTGTTTGCAGCGCTACAGCTCCTAACAGGAGCCCTGTCTTGTCAAAGGGCCCCGAGTCGGCCAGAGTCAGTGTTCAAGAAGGCCCGAAAAGCCCAGGGGTCAACGGGTCCGACGGTCTAGGGCCCGGTTGGAAGGTCTACGGGCATAAGGGACTGGTCGGGGTCTTATTTAGGGGCCAGGCCTGCGAAGACGGGCCCTCAAATAACGGTCAGAGGACCCTTTACCCCGATCGGGAACCCCCTGAGTCGATATGGGCCTATATGTTCGTCTGGTACCACTGTCCCACATGTTCGGCTCCGTGTCCGTATGGGCCTGAGGACCCACTTCCCAATCAGCTACAAAGCCGAGGCCAGTGATTTTCACTGGTCGCGGGCCTTGTCAGGGGCCAACAAAGCCTAACGGAGGGCCCTGAGCTCGCAAGGGCCCGAGACGACCAAGGGAAGTGTTTGATGAGGCCCGAAGAGGGGCCCGGGCGGCCCGCCGCAACCGACCATCAAAGCCCGGTTGAAGTGCATAAGGGCCCGAAGGACGTCACATAAAGAATCGCGGCCCGTAGGGTCATGACCTGAAATATCAGTCTGAGGTCCTCCTGCACCGTTTTAGGAACCTCTGAGACAACGCAGGTATCCAAGCCTGTCAGAGACCACGATCACGGAGCAGTCGGCTCCATGTCATTCTGAGCTCTTGAGACCCATTTCCCAAACAGAAACGAAACCGGGTTTTGCGATTAGCAGTGTTCGGGGTCCCTGACTTAATGAGGGGCTCCTGTGTCAGTCCGGGCCACAGTGCCGAATAGGGGCCGTCTGGCAGAGTGGCCCCGCGTCGGAGCGGTGCTTGAGGAGACCGGAGAGGAGCTGAAGGGTCTCTCGAGGCCAAGGATCAAGGGCCCGATGGAAAGGCTGAAGGGTCCGAAGGGATGGCTGCAGGTCACATTAAGGGTCCCGCCTATGGGGCCGTGATCTCAAATGTCAGTAAGATGATCTTTTGCAATGATAGGGACCCCTCAAACACTCAGACAGCGCGCTCCTATATTTCAGCCAGAGACGACGAGCAACGAACAGTCAGCTCCGTGCTGGACGGAGCTCTGGGAGCCTATTTCCCGAGCAGGCACAAGGCCGGGCCTGCGATTTACATTGGTCAGGCTCTTGTATCGTTCAGGGGCCCACAACACCTAACAGGGCATGCTGTGTCAACAAGGGACCCCGAATCGGCCAGGGGAAGATTTGCGTAACAGGGCCGGGGACGGGAGCCCGAATGGCCGAGGATCTCTTGCGTTGGTCGGGCCCGTCTGGCAGTTGAGGTGATAGAAGAGTCCTGTGTCAGTCAGAACCCCCCCCCCCCCCCCTTCCGAGCGGTGGGCCCTCCAACGCTTTTCCAACATCGACCCGTTAAACCCAACTGGAGTCCATGTGTCAATTTTGACCACCTGCGGTGACCACGGACGTTGCTGCGTTAAGAACGGTTCATGTGTCGAGCATGTGTCAGCTGCGCGTGCCAGAAGGCCTCCCGCGTCAGGGAGCGAACCAATGCGATATGATGTATCCCTCCAATGACCTCCGGATAGGCCGCGGGACGCCGCCCATGTCGCCAGAATGACAGCAAAAAAAAAAACAACAACAACAACGAAACAACAATAACAAAAAACACGCCGCGGTAGAACAGAATGGGTCTTCACCTCTTGACCGGGAACAACACTGTGCCCCGTAGTGCTGTTCTCGAGGGGCCCCTTAACCGGACAGATGTAAGCGGTCTCATGAGTGCTGAATGGAGTGGGTCGAAATGTGTTCAAAACGCACAAGGCTATCCCATGTTTGCCTGAGAACGTTTATCATTTTGCAGAATCATCAAGTGAGACAAAACA